CAAAGCAAGTGTTACTATGGTGTTACAAAAATATGAAAACTGAAGTTACTTTGTGTAAATTTTCATAAGATTTCAACACTAGTAAGTGATGGAACCAGACTTAAAATGAGGTCATTCAATATCAAATTCTAAGTTTTTCCCCCCTTTTTTTAAAAAAAAATTTAAATTATAGTTGACATGTAATATTATATGAGTTTTGGGTGTACAGCATAGCGATTCAGCTTTTATACACCTGATGAAGTGATCACCCTAAGTCTAGTAACCATCTGTCACCATGCAGAGTTATTGTGATATTATTGACATATTCCCTAGGCCGCACATTACATCCCTGTGGCTTGTTTTATAACTGAACGTTTGTACTTCTTACTCCCCTCCCCCTTTTGTGGCTATCTCCCCTCCCCTCTGGCAATCATCAGTTTGTTCCCTGTGCCTGTGAGTGTGCTTCTGTTTCACTTTATTAATTCGTTCTGTTTTTTAGAATCCACATAGAAGTGAAATCATACAGTATTTGTCTTTCTCTGGCTGACTTATCTCAGTTAGCATAATAGTCTCCAGGTTTGTCCATGTTGTCCCACATGACAAGATTTCATTTATTATGGCTGAGTGGTATTCCAGTGTGTGTGTGTGTGTGTGTGTGTGTGTGTGTGTGTGTGTGGTGTGTGTGTGTGTGTGTGTGTGTTCTTTATCCAGTCATCTATCAATAAACACTTGGCTTGCTTCCATATCTTGGCTATTGTAAACAATGAAAATCCAGACCACAATGAGATACCACCACCCACATGTCAGAATGGCTGCTATCAACAGTACAACAAAGAACAAGTGTCGGTGAGGAAGTGGCGGAAAGGGAAGCTCCGTGCTCTGCTGGATTGTAAACCAGTACAGCCACTATGGACAATAGTATGGAGATTCCTCAAACACTTACATAGAACTGCCCTATAATCCGGCAGTTCCACTTCTGGGGACCTGTCTGAGGAAAACAAGAACACTGATTCGAAAAGATATCCGCACCCCAATGTTCATGGCAAATTCTAAGATTTTTGGTGTGAGTTTTAACTACACTACAGTGCCTATCTGGTGAGAATTAGAACAGTGGAAGAAAGAGTTCCCCAAGGAGGAAACAAATGATGGCCATAGCCTGGGGCATGTCTATTTTAGGGACTGGAGAGAAAGGGGTCCAATAAAGAGAAAGGGGCAGAAGAGGACCGGGGAGTGTGTGACTCTAGAAAGCAGGGGAAGCGGGCGGAGAGCTTCCAGCATGAGGACGGCAGCATTCTTAGGTGTGACCCGCAGCGTCAGATGCTCCAGCCGAGCGCAGATCGCCTTCTTCACTGCACATTTGCCTTCTCACCGTGGACTCTCATTGTACACATTTTGTCTTTAGCTCCTGAGCTAGATGACAGATTCCTTGAGGGCAAGGCCCATGTCTTATTTTCCTTCTAGTCTCTGTACTGCCTACCCAGAGCTGTGTGCATGGACTGATATGAAATGTGAAAGCTCTCCGCACGGGGATGATTAATCATCACTAGGATTTTTCCAAAGGCACAGTCTCCAGTGCCAAGAGCGCATTTGTTTAAAATGTGCGCTTAAATTTGAATGAATCTGCCTAAACGGTGCCATCTGTTCTTCGGCAGTTTCAGAAAGGTTTTAATACCATTTTATCCTGAAAAGGACAAACGCCTATGAGACATAAAGACGTCCTGAAATAAACACAGAGCAGACACCCGCACACTCAATCACACTTAAACGGCTGCACTGAAAGAATGTTTTCTGAGGTTTAAGAAAATTTTAGCTAAGAGGACACCAACTACGACTTCATGCAGAAAATATTTATGAGACGTTACCAAATTGTAGGCATGGACTCCTACGGCATATTACGGCATTTTAATTACAGGCTCCAGAAATGCGATGTAGTTGATATCGATCTCACACTCCTTTGCAATGGGTACACTCTTCCCCTACTCACTAAGGGCCTACATGTTACTGTGACTTCAGTATCTCAGCTGAGAAGACAGCTGTTGGGTCAGTCGCTATGGTTTTCTTTTATATCGATTGTCAACTTGACGTTCATTACAGTACTGTAGGATTTATTGTTGTGTGGATGCAACAGTGGAATGAAACCCATGTTTAAGTTCTGCAAATAACTTCCAGTCACTTCCAGAACACCTCAACTTAGGTTCTAAATTTGAGTCTGCGGTTTTACACGCACGGTTATTTGCTGATCCACTTTAGCAAAATCACACACTGGCGAGGCCGGGTATAGTTATTGTGGCGACAAGAAATGGGTCAAATTTTCAGCCTATTTACCTCACTAGCGACATCATCATCACCAAAACTAGGCCAGTATTTTGACATCTGGGTATTTTGCGCATTGGCGTAAGTCAATGATAGTGTATATCAAGAATTTATATTTACAGGCAATTTCTGGTTGGAATAGCATCCAAGCATGTTAACCTTCTGCACACATGTGCATCCATATGGAGTCTTTGTTTAAATTCCATTCTGCAAAAGTGGGGCTCTGAAAACTCATATGAACACTCATTTGGAATATTTTTATTTTTACATGTTTTTGGATATCACAAGTTGCTTCCAATAATTTTTAAATAAAAGCAGTGGGATGAAATTGAAGTCCCCTTGTCAGCTTGTTGCTTCCATCCCTCACAAAGGCAACTACTACCATTGACTTGCCGTATCCTTGCAGTCCATATTTTTTTTATTTTTAATGGCCTAAGTTATAGCACCATGGATGAATATTTCTACATCACACACTGCATTTTTAGTAATTAAGTTCTAACATAGTGTGTACATCATTTTTAGCTTGCTGTTTCCTCAGCCTTCTATTTTAGAAACCAACCAAGGTCACTCTACCCAAAAGTCACTTTATTTTAACATCTCTATAGTTTGGATTATCCCACTTTATTCATTTTTTCACCAGAGATGTTCATTTAGGTTGTACATCTAACACCAATTTCTTGCTCAGACAGTGTTTCAGTCTGCCTCTCTCTCTCTCTCTCTTTCTCTCTTTCTCTCTCTTTTTCTATCTTTCTCTCTCCACCCTCCCTTTTCCCCTTCTCTCTCTCCTTGTGTGCCTTTCCCAATTTCTCTCTAGGAAATATACCTGGTAGCCTATTGCTGGGTTGTGGATTATAGGCATTTGCAACTTTAGCACATATTATCAAATTGCTCTCAAAAAAGGTTCTTAATTTACATTCCCACCAGCAGCATATAAAAGTTCCCATTTCTTTATATTCTTACAAACACTTTTGTTAAACTTTACTTAACATTTTTTTGCCAGTACAATGAATATGAAGAAATAGTTTATTGTTATAGCTCTAATTATTTTGCTTTACCTATTTACGAGTTTAAAAAATTTATAAATACTTATTAACCATTTTCAGGTATACTCTTTATGGGTTGTCTGTTCATAATCTTTGCTCATTTTTAATGAGTTGTTCATCTTTTTCTTATTGATTTGTGGGAGCTCTTTATTTCAAATATTAATCTTTTGTCAGCTATATGTCTTGCAAATATCTTCTCTCAATCTTTAAACTTTGTGGTAGATTTTATCACACAGAAGTCCTTTAATTTTGGATTATCAGGTCAAATATTTTAAATCAATTTGTTTTTGTATCTTATGTCTTATCCTAAAATATCCATTACTACCTTGAGTTAATGCAATATGCTACCATATTTTCTTATATTAATGTTAAAGTTGTAGTATTTTATACTTAAGTCTTTAATACAATCTGGAATTTACTCATGTGCATAGTGTGAGGCTATCTAAATTTATGGTTTTCCAGATGGATGGCCATTTATCCCAGCACCATTGTTGACTGGCCATCCTTCCTCATCTGGGGCGGCCACACCTCTGTCCTACAGAGCTCCTGAGTGAGCACAGCATGTTCCCTGGCCCTGTCACCTGGTCCTGTGCCAGGACCCTCTGTTTTAACTACGGTGGCGTCATGATGCCCCTTGATATATAGCAGGACAAGTCCCCTTTCCTGGTTTTTCTTTCATATAATTGTTTTTGTTATTTTTCAATATTTGTTCTTCCATCTGATTTTTAGAATCAATTTGTTTGTTCTGTCCCAGAAACAAAACCTGTGGCATTTTTATTTCAACCACATTGAATATGTAGGTTAATCTAGATACATTAACATATAGATTAATTTTGATTTCTCACCCATGAAACAGTATTTTAATATCTAGCGCACCATTAATTCGGGTTTTCTTTTTCTGCCTTTAATATAATTCTGTCTTTTTCCCTACAAATTACACATTTTGTAGGATTAATCCCTTATTATCTCATCGTCTTTGCACCATTATGATACTTCCTGATTGTTGCTGGGTCATTACAACTTCATAGACTTTGCATTTTAATCTTGCAGAAAGAGAAACAGAAAGAGAAACATTGTAAGTCTTAACAGTTTGTTTGTAGATGATTTTGCATGTTCTATGTAGGCCACCGTATTTCCTGCATATAATGACACTTGATCTTGTACTTTCCTATCCCTATGCCTGGTATATTTTTTTCTTGTTTATTCCATTGGCTGGGACCTCCGGTTCTGTGTTAGGTGATAGCAGTGATGCTAGGCATCCTTGTCTACGGGTTGTGTTTACAACTGTGTAATGAATTCTCTCCGTGCATCCATTATCGCCATGATCGCCAGATTGAGCATTTCGATGTGGCTAGCCAAGGTTAAGGTGTGAATTGTTGTCATGTAATGAAATAAAATTGTCATATTAGTAAGAGGACCCAAGCTTTACCGCATTCAAACTCTTTTCTCCTTTCCTGATTTAACCCATCTATATCTGCTACCAGGCATTCAATATGTAAAACAGTTAAAATAATTCATGTAAGGGTCTCAGCTACAAGTGTTTGGTTGTTGTTATTCCATTTGACAGCGCTGGCGTTCATGGGAAATGTCTTATCGGAAATAGAAATTTATATAGGTTGATATTCTTCAACATTTCTCATTGTTCACATTGTTTTTGTTTTGTAGACTCCTATGAACCAAGCTTCCACTCGTTCCCACTGCATTTTCACTATTCATTTGTCAAGCAAAGAACCAGGATCTGCAACTGTCAGACACGCCAAACTTCACCTGGTGGACCTGGCTGGCTCCGAGCGAGTCGCAAAGACTGGAGTAGGGGGCCAGCTCCTGACAGAGGCCAAGTACATCAACCTGTCTCTTCATTACTTAGAACAGGTGAGGTGGGCAGAAGGGGCCATAACTATCCACCATTTGTTGACCGTGTATTTTGCATCTGGCGTTCTCCTGACATTTTGTTTTGCTTTGCTTCTTTTATTGTGGTGAAATATACATAACACAAACATTACTTTTTAATAATTTTTAATCTTCACCTGAGGATATGTTTATTGATTTTAGAGAGAGAGGAAGGGAAAGAGATAAAGAGAAACAGAAAGAGAGAGAAACATCCATGTGAGAGAGAAACATCAATTGGTTGCCTCCATTACGCACCCCAACTGGGGATTGAACCTGCAACCTGGGTATGTGCCCTGACCAGGAATCGAACTGGCCACCTTTCAGTGCACCAGACAACAGCCAACCAACTGAGCCACAGCAGCTAGGGCTATTTTGAATGTCTGAATTTGATTTGGAGGGCAGAGAAAGCTCATCTGAATTTAGCTAAATAAATCTTCCAGGAAAAAAAAATATTATCTTTAAAATGAGTGAATTGAATGAGATTTCTCAAATTCCTATCAGCGCTGAGTATAAGTGCTGGGAGTTGAATGTGAAAGATGGCTACTACTTCCAAATTCTAGAAAGAAGAGAAACATGATCAAAAACTGGAGTGGAGAAATAGAGTATATTGGCAAGGCAGAAGGACTTGTTAATGAGTGACGGAGGCTAAAAGATTTAAGGGGGAAAAGCACCTTTTTAAATTACCTAATGAACCTTTGAGATTGATGTTTTGGTGTCGAACGCTTTGTAATGGTCACGTGGGCTGAAAAAGCGATTGAGAGAAAACCTAGGGAGCTCTGTGTGAACGAGGTGCTCATAGTTACACTCAGCCCAGAGCACAAGGCCACGGGGCACCTCATCGTTCTCGTGTCTCTATAAGAGTCAGCGTTCCTGGGCTCTTTCATCTCAGGTGTTTCTCCTTCTCCTTAACAGAGCTTCTCACTTAGTAAGACACTGAGGAAACATTGAGAGGAAACCATGATGGGCTGTATGCGATGTGCTTTCTGCGAAGAAAGGTACCTCTTTGTTTCAGATGGTAGCACGGCCTGTCATTCCCTCTGTGTCCATCTGTTCATAGAAAATAACGTTCATCAGTTGAACCAGAATTTCCGACAGTTGTCATCACTCAAGAGAAATGCGTTGCCCCTAATCCTTTCTTTTTCTTTGTTTTACACCATCTTTGCAAGCTGCTACTTCCCATTAAAGCTCTTTCTCTCCCCACAAACTTCTCTTCAAAATCCTCGGAGCATCAGCCCCATGGGGGACGCATTGGTGGCCTTGTGGCATTTGATTTTCTGTATAACGACTGCATTGACTTAACAAATACTTATGAGGAGCGCAATGTGCTGAGGTCTGAGCCTGCCCCGGAGCACAGTGGTGAGCAAAACAGAAACAGTCTTTGTCCTGAGGGCCTCGTGGCCAGTGCAGGGAGACACGCGCTGAGTAAGGATGCGCCTGCCGTCCCGGTGAGAGCTGTACAGGGAGAGTCCGAGGAGTGAGAGAGCCGGTCACCGTGCATGTATACAGTGGAGGGAGCGGCCATGGGCTCTCTCAGCGCTGACATTAGGCAGACACCTGCAGAATGAGCAGGAGCAAGCCAGGCCAGAACTGGGTAGAGCCTGGCAGGCAGAGGGGACCGGGAGTCTGTTGGCCCTCGGCTCCCGGCCAGGGCGAGGGCTGCACCAGGGTCGCAGTGACCCTCACATGGCATTCACCACTGGTTCTGAATGTCATTCATCTGTTTCATATTCACCCACTGTATCATTCCAATTGTTAACTATTTGCACTGATATCAGCTAATGGAAAGAGGAGATTAGCATGAGAGGAAAGAGCATTAACATGGAAATGTAGTAGTGGAGGTAGACGTGTGGGGTTAAGTCAGGAAGTAGCTGCCAGAAAGAAAGGAGGTGGGTAATAGAGAAAATTTGGAATTTCACACAGAAAGAGATAAGAGAGAGAACCACAGAGTACACAGAATGAGAATAATAAAAACAGCAGGCAGATACTGTTAATGAAATAACAATTCAAAGACTTTCATAATCAAATTTTCTTTGTGTCTAATGAGACTGGAAGTGTAACACAAATTAGTTTAATTAGCTTCATTCATTCATTTATACATTCAACAACTTGTGATCGCGTGTCCACTGGGTGCTATGAGTTACCTTAGGCAATGGGAATAAATGTGTGATTGAGAATAGGCTGTGCTGTCATGCTCTCCAGGGAAAGAGCAAATCATGTAAGTGACTTCTCACCGTGCAGTACGATAAAAGCTGTAACAGAAATCCATGGGTCAGAAATGAATTACATCCTCTGGGTCTCAGTCACTGTATAAGAGGGAGATGGATTTGGTCTTGGACATTCTGGCGACCTTTGCTCAATAATTAGCTCGCAGTGGCTCTAGAAACTGTGTGGGACTGTAACTGCCCTCGGCCAGAACTGGGAGCCCTCCCACCTGCTCCTGCCCAGGCGTCCCGGGCCGTGCACCTGGCTGGGCGCTTAGGTAAACAGCGCTGTGTGCCAGGGGCTGTTGGTTTTGGAGTTCTCCTGGTGTATGCAGTACTGTCTCCAAAAGTCTCCTCCAAAACATCTTAAACCACAACAACAGGGTAATCTCAGCCCAGAACTCGAGTCCGTGGAGGATAAAGGGGCCGAGCAGACTTGTTCTGACCGTGAGCCTCCCGGGCGCTCCTGGTGTGACGGTCCCACCCGCCCAACACGCAGCGAGAAACCGCCGTGAGCACAGAAACCCGAGTCGGGTCACTCCCGCCAGCGGGCCTCCCGGGTGGGCCTCCGGGGTGTCAGTTTCCACTTGGCCGCCATGGAGCGCTTTGTGCTCAGAAGAGAAGCCCGAGGGTGCCGGTGCCCTGTGACCACGCAGATCCTTTCAGTTTCCCGAGGGCGACTTCTATGCACCTCTGAGCTCTGACAAGTAAACCTCTCTCACTCATTCAGCAGTAAACTGCATTATTGATGTTAGGCATGGCTTTAGGTACTTGGAGGTATGATTACATATAATGTGAGTTTCGCTCTTGTCACTGAAAGAATATCTTCAGGAACATGTTATTGTATTTATACATGAAATCCAACATGGAAGTGAATGTTAAAAAAACAACCCTGGTTGTATGACCACCTCCTTCCCCTTGGGTTCCCGCCCACTGCAGAGCCCACAGCAGCCCCAGCTCTGCTCCTCCCAGGCCCGGCCACTCTGCAGAGCTGGGTTGGGGCTGACTGGGGGCACCTAAGTGCGTCATCATTGAGGTGGTACCTGCTCAGAGTCTCTTCCGAAGAAATGGCCTGTGACTGGGTCTCTGTGGCTAAGACAAGTCTCTACGGCAACGGTTCTCAACCTGTGGGTCGAGACCCCTTTGGCGGTCGAACGACCCTTTCACAGGGGTCGCCTAAGACCATCCTGCATATCAGATATTTACATTACGATTCATAACAGTAGCAACATTACAGTTATGAAGTAGCAACGAAAATAATTTTATGGTTGGGTCACAACATGAGGAACTGTATTTAAAGGGCCAGAAGGTTGAGAACCACTGCTCTATGGGGATCGTAAAGGACATAGTCTGAAGATGCCTCCACATCCATTGCCTTCTGTTTACTAAGAACTAACCCAAAAACGATCTCTATTGATCTCCAAGCATTTCTGAGAGCCAGGCAGGCATTCTCATCCCACTGTCACAGGTGGGGATTTTGCAGGTGAAGCAACTGAGGCTAATACATTTAAGAGATTTACCTAAGATCACACAAGTGGGGAAGCTGGATTCCGACTCCAAATCCTGGGTTCTTTCTTTTCTCAGGAACTGACTTCATTTCCCCAATTTTTAAAGACTGTATTTTCTAATCTATACTCCCATTTTGAATTTTAATTATTTCCTTTAACAATTTTAGAGCCCTTTCTGGGGAGGACATTGGGATTACCTCCGTGTACACCACTCATTCCAGGGGTAGCAGCCAGGAGCCCATCCCAGCTCCAGGAGTGGACCCTGACTGGTTGGAACCTGTCTTTCTCCAGGCTGCAGTGATTGGTTCCTGGATGAGCCCATGACCCCAAGCTGCAGTGATTGGTTCCTGGATGAGCCCATGACCCCAAGCTGCAGTGATTGGTTCCTGGATGAGCCCATGACTCCAGGCTGCAGTGATTGGTTCCTGGATGAGCCCATGACCCCAGGCTGCAGTGATTGGTTCCTGGATGAGCCCATGACCCCAAGCTGCAGTGATTGGTTCCTGGATGAGTCCATGACCCCAAGCTGCAGTGATTGGTTCCTGGATGAGTCCATGACCCCAAGCTGCAGTGATTGGTTCCTGGATGAGCCCATGACCCCAAGCTGCAGTGATTGGTTCCTGGATGAGCCCATGACCCCAGGCTGCAGTGATTGGTTCATGGGTGGATCCATGACCCAAGTTGGTCCCTAGAGAAGCTGATTGGGGAAAAAAAAGGCCCTTTCTCACCTCAGTTATGAATAAGGAAGTTAGTAACTGGGCATTTGGCAGCCATCCTATGCCAGGAGGAGAGGCAGACTTCTCCTATGTGAAAGACAGAGCAGAGATACGGGCATAACTGAGTCTTTGGTGGTAGCACTGAGCCAATCAATTTCCCTTATGATTAAAGCCAACTCAAATTATGTTTTCTCTTGCTGCAACAAAAGACAAGTTAGCTAACACCACTTAGTGTCGACAGGAAGTTTAATATGTTCTCCTTTATGTTGTCTAAGTTGTCAATAAAGCTGTTGAATAGAGGAGATATCAATATTATTTCTTGGAGCAGGGAAAAATAGTGACATTTGTTTTATGAAAACTTCGACGTATTTAGAACATTGTTAGATATTTAACTGGTGATTCATAAACACTAGTGCCACTCTCTCTGCACGTCTGTCAGACCTGCCTTGCCGCTCTCAGATACTTCATTGTCTGCTTGGCTCCACTAGTGCCCTGGGCGGCCACCTGGCCACTCAGACTTGGGTCTGGCCCACTTCCTTTCCAATTACATTGAAATTCGTTCTCAAAAATCCCATTGCATGCGAGTGACCCTCACACTGCTTCCCAGTGAACTAATTAATCTGCTCATTTATCTGTTCAGATTAATTTAACAAAAATGTGGTGAGCACATGTTGAACACATGGTGAGCACGCGTCTGACCACACCACCACACTCTGCAAGCGCTGCAATATCCCCACTTGCCACTGAGACATAAAGTCCTAGATTCCCGAAGCTTCCCTGCAGCTGCTGCAGAAAAGACAGATGCCTTTGTTACCACACTGTCCTGTAAATCTGATCGTCCTCAGGGCCACCACCCTCCTTGCTCACCTCCAGATCCCACACAGGTGTCTGCTCCATGGAGCTACATCTCAGGCAAAACGTGAGTTGCAAGAGAGACTAGGAAATGTAATTTTACAGGAACTAAAACTAGAATAGGGGTTGTCTTGAGAGCTGAGTGAGACGATTTGGTTTCTGCCACACGTACTGGCCACTGGGCACTGTTCCAGGCAGTGGAGATAGAGCAATGAACAGGAGAAACAAAGTCCCTGGCCTGTGGAGAGAAAGCCTAGGGGGGAGGCAGATAACTAACAAGTTCATGAAATTTCTGCTAGTGATAAGTGCCCGAAGAAAAATGGAATGGAGTAACAACTTAGAGATAGGGATGTTGCTTTTTATAGGGATTTGAGGGAAGCCCTGTGAATAAGTGAAGTTTGAGTAAAGATTTGATGAGAAGCAGGAAGCTGTATGAAAATCTGCGGTGCCCTAGCTGGTGTGGCTCAGTGGATAGAGCGTCAGCCTGTGGACTGAAGGGTCACGGGTTTGATTCTGGTCATGGGCACATGCCCAGGTTGCTGGCTCAATCCCCAGTAGGGGGCGTGCAGGAGGCAGCCGATCAATGATTCTCTCATTATTGATGTTTCTTGCCCTTCCTCTCCCTTCCTCTCTGGAATCAATAAAAGTATATTAAAAAAGAAAAAAGAAAATCTGGAGCAAGAATATTTCAGGTAAAAGGAGCAGTTCAAAGGCTGTGAGGTGGTCAGCTCGGCATGGCAAGGGCGGTGGGAGCAATGGACGTACGACGGGAGATGAGGTCAGATAGGTAGACAGGGACCGGACCGCACAGGAGTGGGGGCATGATACTAAGTGTCTCGTGAAAGTTGTAAGCAAGGCAGTGACTTGATGTGACTTACATTTCTTAAGGACCCCTCTGGCTGCTCTGTGGAGAGCAGACCATGTGAGGGCAAAAGGAGAAGCCAGGAGACTGATTCAAAGACCTGTGCCGTTGTCCCCGGAAGGAAGATGGAGGCTTGGGCTGGAGTGGTGGCAGAGAGGTGGGGAAAAGTGGTCCAGTTCTGGGTGTGTTTTATAGTTAAACCCATTAGAAAGTTGCTCGTGATCAGATGTTGGAGGTGAGGGGAAATAAGACATGATACCTGAGATTTTGGACTGAGCCAGTAAGTAGATGGTGGTGCCATTAATAATAATGAGGAAGGCCCTAACCCAGTGGTTCTCAACCTTCTGGCCCTTTAAATACAGTTCCTCGTGTTGTGACCTAACCATAAAATTATTTTCGTTGCTACTTCATAACTGTAATGTTGCTACTGTTATGAATCGTAATGTAAATATCTGATATGCAGGATGGTCTTAGGCGACCCCTGTGAAAGGGTCGTTCGACCTCCAAAGGGGTCGCGACCCACAGGTTGAGAACCACTGCCCTAACCAGTTTGGCTCAGTGCGTTGGCCTGCGGACTGAAGGGTCCCAGGTTCAATTCCGGTCATGGGCATGTACCTTGGTTGCGGGCACATCCCCAGTAGTGGGTGTGCAGGAGGCAGCTGATCGATGTTTCTCTCTCATTGATGTTTCTAACTCTCTATCCCTTTCCCTTCCTCTCTGTAAAAAAATCAATATGGACATAAGACACTGGGGGGTAGGGGAGGCCGGGGGATTGTCAAGGACGGGGGAAAAAAAAGGGAGACATATGTAATACTCTTTGTAATACTTTAAGCAATAAAAAAAAGAGAAAAGAAAAGAAAAAAAAGAATAAACTTACTTTTACTTACAAAAAAAAGAAAAGAAAAGAGGGGGTGAATAAGGACTCATATACTAGTAATAGGAGGAAACATGGAAGGGAAGAATACTGAGGAAGGTAAAAGGACTTAACCCTAGACAAAAAATAAATAAATTTTAAAAATGCAAAAAAAATTAAAAATAATAATAATGGGTAAAGTCTGGGAAAGAATCAGGTTTAGCGGTAGAGGGGAGAGAATGTAAAGAATAGACATCCAAGATGTAGAGTTGCCATAGGGGTAAGCTCAGGGAAGAGGTGAGGCCGATGATGTCAGCTGGGGAGGCATCAGGATATAGATGTTCTTAAGGCCAGGAGATTGGATGAGTTTACACAGGGAGAGAGTGTAGGTAAGAAAAAGAAGAGGATCAAGGATGGAGCCCTGGACCACCCCAAAATTTATAATTTGGGAAGACGAAAAGGAAGCATTCATTGCCTAGTTTTTAAGAAAGGTGAAAAACAGGGAAGTGTGGTGTCCTGATTACTAAGTGAATAATACTTCCTAAAGGAGGTACTTTATAGATTCAGAGGTCTAATAAGATGGCAATTGATGCTTTTGGTTCAGTGGGGGTTGGTGATGACCTTGCAAAGAGCCACCTTAGTTTAGTACCTATAGTGGGCATGCAGGATGGGAATGATCCAGGAAAGGAAGAGAAATCAATTAGAGGAAAGAGGGGTTAATTATAGAAGTGAAACAGGTGAGAAGAGAGGAAGGCTAAGGTGGAGTGCTGGCCTTACACAGGAGCAGGGCAGTAACTGGAGGAGGGTAGAATGTGGATTTAGTGACAGGTCAGGAGATGGTCTTGGTCAGGCTGCTGACATCTAGTAAGAAGGGTGTGTGGCTGTCAGCTCAGATTGAAGGCGGGAGAGGAGGCTGGTAGAGGTTTGAAACAAAAGAATATGGTGTGACAGCCTCCTTTCTGAGAGTGGAAAAGTGATTTTTTTTGAGAGAGAGAGAGAGAGAGAGAGAGAGAGAGAGAGAGAGAGAGAGAGAAATATCACAGGATTTCTGGTTTGCAGTGAAGTCAGTGGTCATGAATTTCAAGGAGACCAGTGTGTAAGGTCTATGTTTTTGCTCATAACAGCCTTCACAGATAATGCTCTAATATTGTTTTGTAAAAGAAAGGAGTAGAAGAAGTTCTGATGGTGGCGATTGCACGCCGGGAGAGGGCAATGGCAGATGTTGGCAGTATTTTCAAGAGCCAGGGCGTTGTGGTGCCCCTGAAGTCACATCTGTGGGCCACTTATTCCTGATGCTTTGCAGTGGCCATCCTAGCACTGGATTCATCTTCCCAGGAAAACCCTGCACCCCTAGTGGCTCCTGTGGGGACAACCCACAGCAGCCTTTCATTCATCTACCATCCACCCTTCTAGTATCTTCCTTTTAAGTACCTAAGACACTCAGGACTAAGATGAACAAGCCTTAGTTGAATCAACATAAATGACCCCTATCACTTAAAATGATAGCAAACATGTAGACTGCACTTATAGGCTAGGTACTACTCAAATTTGTACATTTCACTCTTTTAATCTTCCCAGCTACCTCTGAGGTAGGCACTATCTTTTCCCTGTACTATAGATGAGGAGACTGAGGCATGACCCTGTAAGGCTAGAGTTTGGACCTGGACAGTCTGGCACCAGAATCTAACCTCTATTGCCTGTTTTTTATTGTTTGTTCTGTGGTCTATGAATCTGTAAATTTTATTTTTTTTAATTACTCAGAAACATGTATACACTACAGTGAGATTTTAGTACCATATTAAAGTTTACATTTTGATCTCCAATTAAAGATTTCACTTTCATGAATAGATGCCTGTTATAAAGCTGAGATCTTTGTAATTCTAGAGGCAAGTGTAATTTCCTCATCAAGTTTATAACTGTTTCAAATATTGAAGGCTTTAAGCACAGGCCTGCTGGAAATTTTATAATTAAAAATAAATCAGCAGCCCCGCTGGAGTGGCTCAGTTGGTTTAGCGTCCTCCTGTGCACCGAAAGGTTGCTGGTTCAACTCCTGGCAAGGGCGCATACCCAGGTTGCGAGGTTGCTGGTTCGATCCCTGGTCAGGGCATGTATGGAAGCAACCAGTCGATGTTTCTCTTTCACAATGATCTCTCTCTCTCTCTCTCTCTCTCTCTCTCTCTCTCTCTCTCTTTCTCTCGGCATACCCTTGAGTGAGGATTAAGTAAATAAATAAACAAACAAATAAATCACCAATGAAGCGAAGCAGCTTCTAATAAATCAATATGTAGTTTTTGCTGTTAAACTAATGTTTAATTTTGATTTGCTTACAGATTTGAGTTTATTAGTTTAAAGCCAATTATATTAGTAAAAATTATCATTTCAAAGTCTTAAAAATATACAATTTTGTGAATTCAAAATTTTTACTTCTCTGGTTAAGGCTACTTCAAATATAAAAGGTATCAAAAGGGTACTGATCTGCCTCTTTTAACTTGAAGATGAGAGACAGACCAAGTTTGGTAGGATTTCTCAAAACCGGCATTATTTCCTCTTGAGTCTTTATATGAATTTCCAAGTGGCTGCAAACAGAACACTAGTGTGGCCAGTTCTGTACAAGCTGTATCATGTGTCCAGAAATTGCAGAGTTCGCCGTGGTATGTTTTTGCTACATTTGCTTCATTCCATCCTCACCGTTACTGCACTGGATGTTGTGAAGATATTTCTCCTGAGCCCGAGTCCTGGGCATCTCCCTGCATTGCTTCACCTTTCCCTGTGGATTCTCATCGCAGTTGCTGCTCAGTTGGCCAATGTACGTGTACTGCCAGGCTGGTGACATGATTTGTCCGCCCTGCCACAGGTCATCATCGCGCTTTCAGAGAAGCACCGTTCGCACATCCCCTACAGGAACTCCATGATGACCAGTGTCCTGAGAGACAGTTTGGGAGGGAACTGCATGACGACCATGATCGCCACGCTCTCTCTGGAGAAAAGGAACATCGACGTATGTTGGCCCTTCTTTCTGGAGCTCTCAGTCTGAGTTATTAATGTTAGTCTGTGTGCAGAGTCGAGGGTCCTGGGTGGGTTTCTATCTTTTCAGCTGGGTTAGGGTATGCCTTCAGGTTAGATACATCCTACAGAATCCACAGCTTTGCATTATTTGTCAGCATTAGAATGACCCCACTTGAGAATTGACTTCACGTAGCACAGGATGGTTTCAGAAGACCTGCTGATGGGTGGTTCGCTACCTTGGCAGAGTCATGCGAGAAGAGACGTCAGCTTCCCCTGCCCCTCTCACTCTGGCTTACTGAGATACCTGGGAGCCATCTCCGAGACGTGTCCCTCAGCATGTCGCTGGGCACAGTACCCAGGATGCTTGGGCAGGACTCGCTACCGAATGGCTTCCCTGGGTCGCTTTAGAGATCTAGCTGATGTTTCATGCATTTCGGTTTAATGTTTGTGGTCCAGACTTTCTCTGAAAGCGGAAGTGGCAGGTGCCTCTCCAAACAAGGCCGAGCCCCGCCCGCCCTGCACCGTGCTTCTCTTTTTGGTTTCTTACAAACATTTCTTTTGTCATCTTTCATGCGTATGGACCAGGGCACCTGCTATGGTTGTGATGGGCATGTGCGGCTCTGCTTTAACAATCAGCAGTAGAAACACATGCCAGTTGCCACTTAGGACGTCGGGCTCTCCCACACCTTTGGCACTGACCATTTTATTAAGCCCAGTCAACACCTTAATAAAAGATACTGTTCTAGAGCAAAGCTCCCTAACCTGGAGGCACGTTTCCTTACTGTGTTTCATGCACATCGCTCTTCAGATGTGCATCTTTCCCTTTCCATCTCTCTGTGCCGTGACAGTTTAAGGCGTTGTTTTCCTTTCTCAGGAGTCTATATCTACCTGCAGATTTGCACAGCGGGTGGCGCTCATCAAGAATGAAGCTGTTCTTAATGAAGAAATTGACCCCAGACTGGTAAGCAACTTTTAGCTGACTGTGTTTTAAAAAATCAAAGTACTATATCAAAGATTAGCTACACTCTGGGGGCACTTACTCCGCCTAACCAGGCAATGTTCTAAGTCAGTGGTTCTCAACCTGTGGGTCGCAACCACCTTATGAGTAGATGCCATTTCTAGCTCCATCTTACAAATGGCAAAACTGAAACACAGAAATGATAAATAACTTGCTCAGAGTCAGGGTGCTCATAGGTAGCAGAACCAGGATTCAGACACAGACAGCCTGACTCAAGGGCCTGTGCTCTTACCTGCAGTCCCCCATTCCTCCACTAGGGAGGCGTGCATGAGTTCTGAGGACGTACACAGTGGAATCATAGTTACATTTATATGCAGGTTGTAGCCTCTCAAAAATGCTTAACTTTCTATAGACAATAATAATAGACCATCTTGTGAAAAGCTTGTAGAGAAAAAGAAGTCCTCGTGGTTATAAAATAGGACCCTATTTTGCATAACTGTTATTTTTCTAGAGATTTAAAAACATTTATAATGGTTTGATCCATGGAAAACTGGCCAAGCTTCTAGTTTTATAACAGTGAATTGTACTTTATCAAAGTGATTTTTTAGGCAAAAAAATATTTGCAAGTTACATGATTCAGCTACTCATAAACACAGATATTTCCTTTTTTCTCTATTTTGTTAGTCTTCCATGAATGAAATGAAATGTGGAATTCACTCATGCCAACACTGAAAATATTGACATAAAATATTTCAATTTTGTAAAACTCCAAAATTTAGATTATATTCCTTTGCAAGTCACTCAGCTTTCTTTCTTTCTTCTTTTCTAGAAAATAAGCTGGTGTAAGCTTAATAGTGTGCATTGTAAAAAAATAAAAAAATAAAATGTGTAAGCTTACCAACAGTGTTACAAATTTCTCAAATTCCAAAAGAAAAATCTCAAATTCACCATTACCCATATTAACTACTTCCTCTTGCTTGCTTGCCCTTCCTCCCTGAAATCATTCCTCTGGAGGGCAGAGGAGGAGGGGGAAGAGGAGGGGGGGAGGAGGAGGAGGAGGGGGAGGAGGAGGAGGAGGAGGAGAGAATGGTGGGTCTGTGTTCTATCCCCTGATGTAATTCTCTCCAGGAGAAACCAGTGGGTGGGGAAGGATCTATTCCCAGCACAGGCCCTGGTCGGATACAGCGTCCCACGGGCCCACTGGACAGGGGAGGCAATGTTCAGAGGAACTGAGTCCAGTGGAACTGAACTCCTGGGATGAATGTCCTGCTGCTTGAACCCTGTCAACAGCCCTGAAACATTACTGCGCAGGAGGAAGACAGTAATGGGTTATTAGCCAGAAGCCAAAAAATTGAAGGAAAATAAACATATTAGACATTTAGTTAGTTTTTTTTTAATTTGGCTAAAGAGACTTTTCTTTAAAGGAACTTGAGGAATTTGAAGAAAGGTAAACATTATCATGTGTTTGATGTAGGTCTGTGAGAAATTTAAAAACAAGCGTCCAAAGCTAGTAGCCGATAATTGCACAAATGTGGAGGCCTTCCTGGTGCAGAATGATCTGTGAAGTGTTATTCCCTGGTCTCTTTTATAATCGCTTCTAAAGCCTGATAGTACTGTTCATTACCTTATGTATTTCTGAAGCACAAGTGACAATTGAACATTTGTCCTCAAAACCACCCCAAATACCGCTTGAGTGGGATTTCCTATATCTCACTCTCAAAATTTCATGGCAAATGTGGACCCGCCCTGTCAGCTTGGATCAGCACGGATCTGACTTGCTTTCTTTATGAGAATTAGTGCCTCAGAGAGACAGGTGATGAAGGAACTGGAACCAGCCAGAGTCTGCGCTCACTGGGCATGCGTCAGATCTCGGGATGGCCCTCATTCTGAAGTCCCCGCGGTGACTCGAGGGGGAAGTGTGGCTGTCATAATTTCAAAATCCTGAAAAGTTGGCTGAGTTTTAAGATTTTTGTTCAGTAAAACAGAAGATAATTTGTTAGATTTTACTTTGAAAGCCTCGGTAGAAGTAGAGAGCATGGCATCAAGATCAACTTAGTAGAGGGAGGGTACACATGAATGACTCACATAGTTCTGTCCAAGGCTTTCATTCTGCATAGCTTGATGATTTTAAGAATGTTTTTAAAAAGAAGTAAGTAACCAAAACCCACTCAGTTCTGCACATTTAAATGAAATTCTAGGAACATTGACATGTTCAAAATATTCCTATCATCTTCTTTGGAACTTCTCTTGATGTGATACTGATAATATGGATACATAAAAATGTAACAAGCATTTTCTGTGAATTTACTTAAAATATATATGTCTGAGGCTGGAGGAAGTAGGGGACTTCTCCGGGGCCCAGAAACAAAGCTGAGGCTGCAGTTGTCATGGAAACAAAGGGTGAAGGGGGTTCAGAGGCAGAGAGGTCAAAGCCTGAGAAGGCAGATGATGAACCTAAGGCAGCTCTTCCCCCCGCTCCCCAACCTAAAACCAGCGAAAGTTCGAACCTGAAAGGAAAGAGACTGTTCACTTGGCCTAGACTCCGCGTAGAATAAAACATGGCTTCACTGAAAATTCGAAATCCCAAGGCTCTGCCTCTCATGAGTTTGAAGTTCAAATTTGAACTTGGTCTAGTAACATCTAAGCCAAGAAGTTGGAACATAAACAATTAAGTAAATCCACACAAGAGAAGTACAGAAATTAAAAAGTATAAAAACTAGTAAAAATAAAAGGAAAAGAAAGATACAGTGTGGAGAGAAACAGAACCTGGAGTTTATTTTTAATATGAACAAATCTCTGGAAAGACTAATGAAAAATCAATAAAGAAAGCACAAATTGATATAACAGTACTTGGAATGCAAGGGGGACTTAACATTATATACAGTAACTATCTTAAAATAATAATAAAGTACTTTGAATGACTTTATGGTATAAATGTGAAAACTTAAAACAAAATGGAGAACTTCCTAGAAAAACATAACACTGAAACTAAAGCAAGAAAAATTGTAAAGCGTGAATAGATCTACAACTAATAAATACATTGACTCCGTAATAACAAAGCTACCATAAAGAGAAAAGGGGGAAAGAGAGGAAGGGAAGGAGGGAAGGACCAGACTCAATATATTTTATGTTCATCAAATATTGAAGGAAGAATAAAAATTGTATTTAACCTAATTGTTATTTTAGCAACTTCGTATTATGATCGGTCATATGATCATTAATATAGTGTGTGTTATCATGACCTAGTTGGGCTTATTTCAGGAATTTAAGGATAATCTATCATTAGAAAATAAATGAATGTATAGTAAAATCAACATAACCATGGAAAAAATAAATACCAAATTTAGGGTAATGGTAATGGAGAATTCACTGAGGGCAGGCTACACAGCACGAGGGCTTCAAAGAGTCTGTCATGTTTTATTTCTTAAGCTTAGTAGTGGGTACAAGGTGTTCTTATACCTTTTTGTTTATCTGAGGTGGTTCATACTAACAAAAAAATTACACAAATCAGGGGATTCGTCACATTTACAGCTTAAAAGAGAAAAATTACATGATCACATCACCAGATGTAGAAAAAGGTATTTGATAACATTAAACATTCATATATAGTTTGAAAAGACTCATCAAACTTTAATCAAATTTATTTTACTCAAATTTATTTCCTGTTAAAATTTGAGGAGGGCCTTTGGCAGAATTTCATGAGCTGGGTCTAAAATTTATATAAAAGAGCAAATGACCAAGAATAGCCAAGTCTATTTGGAAAAGAACAAGATGGAAGGGACTTGTATGTAGATGCCAAAATGTCTTCTTAAGCTATAGCAGTGGCCGGCAAACTCATTAGTCAACAGAGCCAAATATCAACAGTACTTCTTCAAAATAGACTCGCCCAGGCCGAAAACTGACTTCTGCGCATGGGCCACGAAGTTACAATTGCACTGTACGTGCGCCCACACGTGGTATTTTGTGGAAGAGCCACACTCAAGGGGCCAAAGAGCCGCATGTGGCTCACGAGCCACAGTTTGCCGACCACGGAGCTGCTATAGTAATTAAAGCAGTGTGGTATTGCCATACGTATAGTCAAGCAGACAAATGTTTTTAACTAATAGCCTAGAAAAAGACACATTTATATATGGAAACATGTTATATCATAGAATTATAATAGCAAAGCTTGTATGGTTAGCTGTATTAAAAATAAATTTAAAATAGATCCGTATATTAGACTTTGTACAAAATAAAATCAACCTAAATGTGAAAAGCAAAACTTTAAAACTTTTATAAGAACACATAGGAAAATATTCCTTTGGTTTTAGGTAAAATAGATTTTCTTTCAGAAGACACAGAAATCCAACTCATAAGGGAAGAAGTTGATAATAGAATTATATTGAAATTTAAAATTTTCATTTACCAAAAAGAACACCACAAAGTGAAAAAAATATGACATAGATTGGGATAAAATATGTGTGTTGCATAAAACTAATAAAGGGTGTGCATCCAGAATATATAAAGAAGCTGTAAATGAATAAGGAAGGAGAAAAACAAACTCAACTGAATATGAGCAAGAATATGAATAAATAATCCACAGGAGAGGAGATCCAAAGAGCCAATATATATTCATGCACAGATGACCAGCCTCTCTAATAATCATGAAAATGCAGATTAGAACTGATTGAGATACCTGGTGGACAAAATTAAAGGGTCTGTCTTTAGCGTACATAGTGGCAATAATGTGGGGAAATGAACCGATACATAGCTGTTGAGAATGGAAATCTATACAGCCACTCTGAAGAGCAGTCTAACCCCATGTATTGAAGGGAATATGCAATACTCTACAGCAGTGGTTCCCAATGTGGGGCACACGCCCCACAGGGGGGCAATTTGATTTTTTAAGCGGGACAATTTGAGAATGAGTTATTAACAGTGAATTTTTTGCATTTCTTATGGTTCTAGGGCCTCATATACAGTATCTAAATATATATTGTGACATATTTATGCATTTCAGTTCTCTAGTATATGTTTTGAAATTTCATTTGCTATTTTTTCATATCACTTCGTATTATTATTTTTAAAACAATTTCTTAGTGACTTCTTCCTCAGTACTTCAACTGTCCTTTTGTTCTTTTATTTTCTCTTTCATTGATGCCATGTTCTTTGAAGCTTGTTTAGACCAAGTTGATGGTCTTTTAGGCTTCCTCCATGTGAATAGGAGTTCACTTTTTGAATAATAAGAATTATATGTCACAGTGAGGGCATCAGGATTTTAGAGATGCGTAGGTGGGGCATGGCCAAAAAAAGGTTGGAACCACTGCTCTACACCCATGCAATTCTAAGTGCTCACTCTGAAGAAACTCACATACATGCCAGAGACTTATCATGGTCACACAGCACTGTTTATAACAACAAAGGTAAAAATTCTAAGTGTCCCTCAGCAGGAGACATGAATAAATAAACTGTGATCTATTCCTTTACTGAAATACTATATACCCAATGGAAATTAACAATATAATTAACCTCAGAAATATAATGTGTGTGGGGGGGGAATGAATTGCACTTACATGCTATATAGTAACATTTACATAAAGTTGAAGGCGTGCACAATGAAACCATATGTTACTACAGTTCCATCCGTACACATGGAGTAAATACGTGAACATATGGGGAATGCTCCCCGCTACATGCAGTTAGCGATCACCCCAGAAAGGACAGAGGGATAGAGGAATAAGGGGTTCCACTTATGTCAGTAATGTCGTATTTGTTAAAAAGAATTCTAAAACTATCTTAAATAATACGCTAAGATTTCACAAAGCTCGGTGGGAGGTATGGGAGTGCCTTTTCTATCATTGTCTGTACCCTTTTGCACCCTCCAAGCAGGTTATAACTTGGAGAGATGTGTGTCTCGGTCACCGAGTCCCCGGAGGAGCTGACAGTCGCTCTGGCCTTGCCTTGCAGATGATCGCACGCCTGCAGAAGGAAGTCCAGGAACTGAGGGATGAGCTGGCCCTGGTCACGGGGGAGCCGAGGACCGAGGCACTCACAGAGGCGGAGCTCCTCCTGTAAGCCCGCAGACTTGCTTGCTTCCTCTCTGACCGTGAGAGTTTGTGTTAACGTCTTTGTTGGCCCTAACGTTATGAATGCACCTAAAAGCATGAAGGTCTCCGGGGTCGGCCTGCAGTTGCACTCCGGCGCCAGTTGGGAGTGGCAGCTCGCCATGGAAAGCTGGCGAGGCTGGCAGGGTTCTTGTTGCCCGGGGCCGGGGGGAAGTAGGGGCAGAGCATGGAGAGGGTGGGCATGTCTCCTCGTGCAGCTGAAGAAAGGGCTTGCCTCGCAGTCATGCAATTGTAAAACCGTCCACCAGTGCTGTGCCTCAGACCTGAAAGGAGCTCAGCAGACGTCCCTGTATTCAGCAACATCTTGCTGCCGGCTCCAGTTTACCCCGGCAAAGCAGGCTCCCCTTTCGTAAGTAGACGGCCCATACAGTACAGTTCAAACACCCAGAACGGGGCTGAAAGCAGGTATTCAGGGCCCCAGACAAGGTGGCTTCGTTCCAGCCTTCTGATGCGTGGCCACGTGGCACATCAGGGCCCGATCACGTGGCACGTCAGGGCCATGTGGCTCCTGTCCCCTCTCCGGTCCGGGGCCCTCCTTGTGTGTGTGCTGCATGTGAAGCCTTTGTGGAGTGGTATCATGGCCCAGGCTGAGGGGGTGGCAGTTTCTACTTCCAAACTGGAAACAGAGCTGCACAAGCTCTTTCTCAAGGGATGTGGCTGTTTCACCTCACCTTCTCCCAGAGGAGAGAACGGTAAACAGTAGAGACAATGAAAATATTTCCTTTAAACTATTCCGTGGCTGCCCCTGGCGGTAAGTCTAAAGCAAGCTTTCTGTTGTGCACTAAGCAGTTACTCCTCCAGACAGCGTTTCCAAATTCTAGAACACTGTGTTTAATACTACGAGGGGCCCTTCAGGTTGTTCTTACAAAACTGCTTTGTGGGAAGTACGCAGCTACGCTGAAATATATTGCCAAAACTCACATTTTAAAAAAATGTCATGTCATGACCTTGCAATACCTTGCGATACCTTAGATATTGAGAACCCGAGTGAGAATTCCTTCGCCATGGTCCTCCCTTCGCCTCAGACAGGGACTACCAAACATGACCTTGAAGATGGCGCTTCAGAATTTTTATTTATGTCAGGGTCCAGCCAGGAAGAAAAATCATTCTAGACCTTTCCACGAAAGGCATCTAAGAGAGGAAATGCACTGTGTGGGAGGTGGTCTTGAGGCCATGCTGTAGCATCCCGAGGTCAGGACCAGTGGGATCTCTCCTCCAGGACCCAGGGGACAAGGGGAGAAGTTGTGATGCCAATGCCTGAGCCTGGAGCTGGCCAGTGGGAGCTGGCCCATGATGCAGGCTGCCCGGTGGAAGCTGGGTTGCTGACCAGGCATCCTCCCAGCAAGGACCCCTAGCTGCTCCCTCCGCTCCCCTCCACGCTCCCCCAGTGCCTCCCATAGGCTGAACGCACCCAGAAGCCAGCTGTTAAAGGGGTCAGGGAATGGAGTTTCCAAGAGCCAGAAGGGAAATGGCCAACATATGGAACAGTTCCCGTGTTTTCTCCAATCCCTGGTGTCCTGCCTGTGGCTCAGGAGGCTCAGCTGAATGTGAGGGTTCAAGACGTCAGACAGAGTAAGTACAGGCTGCGGGCTCCCTCCGCTGCACCAAACCTGGGAGTTACAGGACTAGTATAAACAAGCACTGGAATCTCCAGCCAACCCCCCCCCCCCACCCACCCCACCACCACCAAGAACAAGAAGTAAATTTCTTAAGCTACTAGACACTAGAAAAAATTCCTGGGAGACTGAAAGGTGGGCTGAAATGGTCAAGGGAGCGGGACAGACCAGACCCGGGGCAGTGCCGCCAAGTCTCCTGCCTGGAAGTGGTGGCCTCCGGTGCATCAGAGGGCAGGAGCTGCTGTAGGGAGCGGTGTCCCGTGAATACGGGCACTCCTTTCCTTCTCCACCCAGCCTTTAGGTCCCCATTAGGATGGAGAAAGGGGAAAGGGCCTCAGGGAGCTGAGGTGACAGGACAATGAGAGGCCCGGTGAGATCTGACCCAGCTGCTGTCCTCAGCTCTGCCCGCCCCCTGTGCTCACTGAGAAAAGCAAGGAGCACAAGCACCCACAGCCACGTCCCCCTCACTTCCAATGGGCTGTCCACGCAGAGGGAGTGAGAGTCTAGGAAAGGTGAACTCGCAGCCAGGACTGCCTAGGACACGAGGGCTGCCAGCAGCCAGCGAGATGGGGACAGGAGGCTTTGCAGCTGGGAGGCCTGCGGAACTCTACTGCTCAGGAGTGACTGATAGCTTTAGAGGTCGAGAGCATGCTGTTACGTCCATGAAACAACACCCGCATCTTGATTTTTACAAAAGAGCATCAAGAGATCTTGAAAATAAAAAAAAGTAATTGTTGCCATTAAGAATTTAATAGATGGCTCCATAGCAGAATGAAAAAATGGAGGGGTAAGTTAGTGAACTAGGGTGATTGGGCCAAGGAATTCTTCCAGAATATAAGATAGAAGGATAAAGAGAAAGCTTAAAAGAAAAGGATCACAGGGAATAGCTCTAAATTTACCAAAATCTAACAAAGAGTTTGCAGAGGAGAAACAGAGAAGAGGCAGGGAGCCAAGAGTTAAAGAATAATATCTACTGATTTCTCAAGACTAAAAATAAAAAGGATATAAGACTTCAGAATGAAAGGGTTCGCATGTGCTATGCAATATCTATACTAATAATAGGGTAATATGCTAATTAGACCAGGAGACCTTCCGGGAGACTTTCCGGATGTCCTTCCAGACAAAGCCATGGTGGCGGGGCCAAGGCAGAGGCAGTTAGGGGTGATCAGGCCAGGAGGGGAGGGCAGTTGGGGGAGAGCAGCCTGGCAGTGGGGGACAGTTGGGGGCGATCAGGCTGTCAGGGGTGGCAGTTGGGGGTGAGCAGGCCGGCAGGGGTGGCAGTTGGGGGCAAGCAGGCCGGCAGTGGGGAGCAGTTGGGAGCAATCTGGCCGGAGAGGTGGGGGGCAGTTGGAGGTGAGCAGGCCGGCAGGCAGAGTGGTTAGGGGCAACCAGGCAGGCAGGCAGGTGAGCGGTTAGGAGCCAGCACTCCCAGATTGCGAGAGGGATGTCCAACTGCCAGCAGTCAGACATTCCCTGAGGGGTCCCAGATTGGAGAGGGCGCAGGCCCGGCTGAGGGACACCCTTCCTCCATGCACGAATTTTGTATGTGTGTGTGTGTGTGTATATATATATATATATATATATGGCTAATATGCTAATTGTCCCTCCACCCGTCTGACTGGTTGCTATGACACGCACTGACCACCAGGGACAGATGCTCAACACAGGAGCTGCCAGCTGCCATGACGTGCACTGGCCATTTACAGAGAAACGACAGCATGGACCTGGAGCTGACAAAGCAACACTCAGGCTTCCCCCAAGTGGGACACAGGCCCCACCACCACCCAGAAGCGACAGCCCACCAAATCGCAGCCTAGATTGAATGTTGGTGCAACTTAAAATTCATCAGATTTTAGAGTTCTTTACCATCTAGAAGTAAAAGAGAAACACGAAAATCTGCCCCTAATGTGGCAGTGCGATTTTATGTCAGTAGACATGCTTCTCTGTCTTCTAGGGCAGCTCATGCACTGGGGATGTGAACCAGCTTCAGTCCCCTCCCTGCGCCCAGACTCCGGGAATCGAGGTGGGAGGGGTTAGCAGTGCTAGAGAGAGAGGAAGGGTCCCAGCAGGGCAGGACCAAGGGCAGAAACGGTCTATCTCTTGCCTACCTCTCTGGTCTTATGCATCCTATCAGGGACTCTGTGCAGGATGCTAGACAGCAGATAAAGAATGGAAAATGTATTCTATGCTGTATGCATTGGGGACTTTGGAGATGTCTGTTAATATCTAGCCCGATCAGGTTTTTTGAACTGTGTCCCAACATTTCAGTTCTTAATGCAAATATGTGTTGCATTGACTCAGATACTTCATTTGAAGATTTCAGATGTCAGCCTCCAGTTATTGTGTTACTTTTAGTTTACCTCTCTCTCTCTCTGTCTGTGTAAATTTGAAAAGAGACAGCTGGATGAAGGCTGGATAGCCAAGTTAATGTTTATATAGAATTTCTTGGGTGAAGAATTGATTCTGATTGGTTCTCTAAACACATACCTCTTTCTTTCTCTGGTTAAAAAAAAATCCTTTAGCTGTCTGGCTAGGATGGAAGCATTATATCCTGGCTCAAGTCTAAATGAGTTGAATATTTGCAGCATAGCAGCAGTTTACTTTTGAGATGGAATTGAATTGGATTTCATGGGCTCAAGTTTGACCAAAGTGAACTTCCAAACTTCTGGATCCTTTTGTTCCCTCTATCTTCCCCTCCCCCCAGGCTATATTTAACATTGTGTTGACATTAAGGTTTACAATGTGATGATTTTATAATATACATTCATATTTTGAAATGATTGCCACAATATGCTTAGTTAACATGTCTATCACCTCACATACTTGTGTGTGTGTGTGTGTGTGTGTGTGTGTGTAGTGAGAACATTTAAGATCAACTCTCTTAGCAACTTCAAATATATAATACAGTACTATTAACTATAGACACTATGCTATACATTAGAACCTCAGAAAGTATTCATCTTATAACGGGGAGTTTGTTCCCTTCCACTTACATCTTCCTGTTTCCCTCACCCCTGCCCCTGGCAACCACCAATGTGATCTCTGTTTCTCTGAGTCCAACTGTTTCAGTTTATACATATAAGTGAGTTCATATAGTATTTGTCTTTCTCTGCCCCATTTATCTTAGTTAAATTTTGCAAATCAATTAATCCTTCAACCTGAAAATTTTGAGCACCTACTAGATGCTAATTGTGCTCTAGGGGATTCATGAATATAAGATACAGAAACTAATTCCAAAAAGTTACAGTTTTATTGGGGAAATAATACATATATACAATATAAATATTTATACACACATATGTATGTGTATATATAAAACAGAAAATAAGAGAGT